AAAGAAGATTTGTAGTTTCGTTACAATAAATAAACAAAAAATTGCATTTTTAGCACTTTGGACGACTATAGCTTTTAGAAGGGAGAAATAGATAAAAATTTTCTTCTACGATATAAGTTCAAAGTAAAGATCTATTTATATATACAATTGCAACTTTCTATCTTAAAAGGTGTAAAAGTTTTGTAAACAAACTGACGGAGGAACAAAGTTAAACTAATAAGCTCTTTTGTCCAATTTTATAAATCCAAACAGCACAAGTTATTCAAATTTTTATTTAAGTCAACTGAAAAAACCATCGTTTTTAAATAAGCATGTTCTTAAAGTTCTTACAATATTATAATTATTATAAATTATTATTATTTCTAAATAAATAACTACTAGACAAAAAGACACACATTTCACAATTTGTAATTTCTTTATTGAAAGTTTAGGTTTCCCTATAAAAAGACATTTTTCTTAATAAAAATGTTATTGAAAAAAAAGGAAGGATTCTATAAAGGATATTGGATTGTCTTCTTCATGCATATTTTTACATTACATAATGGAAATAAACCTTAAGAAATCTCAATAAAGTTAATCTTTCACCTTCTAGAAATAATAACATTTATACATACTTATAGTATATGTTGTACATAATATATTGTATAAAAGTATGTTTGTATAAAAGTTCAATGGTTCAAAGCAAAAAAGAAAACAAAAAATTACTAATTATGTAATTTATTTGAATAAACCTTAATTAATGATCCAATATAGTAATTATGCCTACAAGTACGAGTATGTTGGTTTATCCCATATGAATAGAATTTTGTGTATATTAAAATAAATTCTAATGAAATAGATCCTAGAACGAAAATTGTTAGTTTTCATCGAACTTAAAATTTATTTAAATTAAATAGGGTTTTGAAAAAATAATTTTAAATTTGCAAATTTTTTCCACTTCTGAAATTTATTTGCCATATAAATTAAATTTTTCAATAAGGCAATATTAATAAATACGAAATATAAAAGAAGGATTTGCACATGGATGAATTGTAAAACACATAAATATTTACGAATATTTTAAACGATGTACCGATTCCCGCGTGAGAGTACTCATATTATAAAAATCTTGCAATTTAATTGAAATTAAAATTATTTTTGCGACTCTAAATTATGTAGGTTATGGAAAAATATGTTGATACTTCACCGTAATTCCGGAATTCTCATGAAATATTTTTAAATTTCATGAAAATTTTTGTTTTTCTGTTAACAACTGTTAAGGTCGTCATTATTTGCACTTAACACCTGCACAACAGCACTTGTCCAATAAGTATTGGAATCACTTTCAGGACTTACACTGTGGCATTTGCAGCAATTAAATCCCACTTAAATTTTAATAAAAAAATATCCGACATTTTTCTACATTTTTCCGAAACCTATAATAAAATCAACTTTGAGTGGAACGAGGTTTTTTTTATTCGAAAATCTTCATTACATCCAAAAATTTCATTAATTAATTTTCTTTTTCCTTTTACAAAACATTATAAACAATGCAAATTGAATAAAATATTCTAGTCTTATACTAGATATAAACCATAAAACCACATTTTTTGATGAAATATTTTCCAAATTTGATTTCATGTACGAATTAATCTTATATTTTCATTAAAATCATGATATTTGGATTTTATTGCTGTCTTAGTTTTTTTTTTATATTTTTGCCTTTAATTTGACCACAATGAATTTCAAGTTCATATTTTATATTTTGGGTGTATAATATACAGGATGTTTACTTATTATCTTAATAGAATACTAAAAATTTCGCTTTATCATTGAGATGTCCTATTAATAGGCAAAAAATACCTATACGAATTTAATATATTTTGTCAGAATATTAGAGTATATATGAGATTAAATAAATTGAATGAATTTTCAGTTTATAGATTTAGGAAAAAATAATCTCACAGAGTACAATTTTTCTTCTCGAATTTTAAAATTTTGAGTTTTTCATTTCTCCTTTTCAAAAATGATTTACGACAATCAGAACGATAATGACCTACAACGTAATATCTATATTTTAAGCCAATATTATATATGACCAGCTATTTCTTTATTATATAATCAAATGAAAATACAAGATGAATTTAATTTTTTTAAAAATCCTTAATTCTTTTAATGAATTGGGTACGAAAATTAATAAAACAGCTTAAATCTTTAATTTCATGCGTATACGAATAGAAAATTTTAATTAAGAAGAGCACGCAGTGAAATTTTACATTTGAAACATTATTGCAAAGTTTGCACCAACAATGCTTATGAAACAGTCTTGTTGCTCTGCAAAAATAACGTATGGTTTACAATTTGCATTTTGGATCATAATTTTTGATCTCTTATTAGACGTCATCAATTATTATTATTGTCCAATAATTCCTTTTTGACAGTTCTATTTAAGATTTTTAAATAATTCATATTTAATATCAATTTCAGCAGGAGAGCTATTATTATAACCTTATATAATTGAATGCAAACACAAAAACTGCAATGTAGATCATGTGGCTTTCTAGTTTTATGTTTTACATATTTGCAAAACGGATGTCACGAACGCCATAGTGATTATTTTATCTTAAAATATTCATATTTAGTTGGAGAAAGAACAATTTTTAATTACATTTAAATCTCTATATTAATTTTACAATTACATAAATATGCGGAAATGCATAATATTTCAACATCAGATGCGGCCTTGTATTCCTCTAATTTTTTTAATAACATCTCTCCATGTATTTAAGAAATCTGTTTTATTTTACGAACTCTCCTAATGACATAAACTTCTCATTTTCGTAAATTTTTATTTTGAACTAATTGTACCACATCTGTTATATACTTCTATTGTTACACCGAAAAAAAGAAAATATTGTCAAATTATCAGAATGTCAAATTTATGGCACACTTCTTTTATTACACACATTACTACGATGTTGTATAAAGGTCATTCAATAACCATACACAAAAAAACCTCGAAATGTTCCAGTTTTCATTTTATTTTCATAGTAAAACTTTCATTTTTATAGTTTTAAGAATTTTATCAAAATTTTCTATTGAAAAAACTTTTTTTTTTATTTATTGAAATTTTTTTATTATTTTATTATAAATTACAAATATTTTCTATTACTCATATAGCGTGGGAAAGGAGAAAAATTGCACATGTTGCATAAAACAATAAAAAAAATGAAAGAGTTTGGGGTAAAAAAAAATTAGGTCGAAAGAATAGGTCAAAAATAGTAGGAAAAAAATCATGAATAATTTGATTTTCCACTCTAAACTTTTATAATTGAAATAGGAAAAGAAAGAAACAAAATTTTTTTATTTGATTTCATTAGCCCTTTATGATATCAACCTTTTTAACATCTAATCGCAATGAAATCAGAAATAGAATCGAAAATTTGCAATTGAAAATTGTATTTTGGTTATAAGGAGCACTATATTATTGGTTAAAAGGATCTAACTGTGCTCTAGTATAGCTAAAAATGCATTAAGAAAATTTTAAATGTGAAATTGCCCAATATTAAATACACTGTAGAGGTTTTCACTCTTATCGGATTTCAATATCAAAACTCTTATCGGATAAAATATAAACCAAATTAGTTCGAAAATTTTTCAAATTTGAAGAAGTACTTAGATTTGTATATGAAATTTTTTGATATAGAACTGGTCTTCAACCAATACGACTGTTACCTATTAATGGCATTAATGGCATTTAAGGCTTAATTTTTTTTTCTCCAATCATTTTTGTGTCATTGAATTGAATTTACTATTTTTTATTAAAATCAGCATTTTTAACGTATGGTATACACTATCTTAATATATTTATTTCTCGACTCGTTACAAGTATTGAATGTATTGCTGCATGTAGAAATGTAGTGTTAACGGTACGCATAATTAATATGAATTGAAAATTTATTCATCTATATATAAATGTGTGTTCAATACATATTAAATTTAATTATAATATACATACGAGTATACTACTTTTATATAATGCAGGTGTTCCGCTATTTCTGACATTTTATGCACTACATCTGCTAGCCCGTATATAAAATTCAACGTTATAATTTTTTTTCATATTTTTTATTTGTTTTTCTTAAAGTAGTTCTTCTTTACACAGAAAATATTCATATTGAATTACTGAACTATAGCGATCTGGCATGTAAACAAAAATGCACCACTGACTACAATAAAAAATTTCGATTTCATTTGATATAGTCATAATATGCTATTAACGCAAGTAATTACGCTAGTTCTCACATTTAAACCCTTTGGAAAAAGCAATAGTTTTGATTATAACAAAGATAAAGTATGCTAAATTCATTTTTGGATAAATTTGATTTTTACTTAATTGTGAAGTGTAGTACGGAATTTTATAAATGTAGGAAAACTATACACGACCTCGGAAAAACTAATAATGTCAGCTGATAAATTTATTATTCTTAATTCAAATTTTAATTAAATTTAAATTAAGAGTAAATTTGTTACCCTTAATTAGAATTTTGGTTTAGTTCCTTGTTGTTTATTAGCCGACGATATTACCTCATTATATTCTTATTTTTGAATTTTTTGACTATTCAAAAATAAGTCATTAAATCAAAATTAAAGTTGTATTTTTTTTTGTTCCTTGTCCTATACTCCCCTTGGGAACATAGGGCTTCCACAAAGCTTCTCCAACGAACTTTGTTAGGAGATTCTTTTTACTTCTGCCCATGTCATGTTACCCGTTGCGATTTCTTCCTCTATCGTTCTTTGCCACGTATTCATTGGCCAATTCAAAATTAAAGTACTAACGTATTAATTGTAAGCCCGGAACAAGCGATAAGAGAGAAATATTGCAGAGTTCTGAGCTTAGAACAAATTTCAATTTTGTCCTAATTTTAACTGTTATAAATATATTTTTGCAGATAGAAATTAATAAATGAAATTCATAATTAATCTAATTAAATTTAGAAAAGGATATTCATAAAACTTACCTTGGCGCAAATCGATATTAATGAAATCGAAAAGAGTAGAACAGCTTTCATGTTTCTGATTGTATCTCAGTTAATAACCTTGACTACTTTGAATTTTTGATTTTTTCTTAGAATTTCTCTTCTATTTGAACTCTTATATTTTTATTGTATATATATATATATATATATATATATATATATATATATTTAATTAAATAAGTTATGAACTTAAAAGTTTAAAAAATTGATTAAAAAGTTAAAAATTTTGTTTTTCTTTTAATTTAATATACTTTCACTTTTTTAAACGGTATATTGCGTTACAATAAACTAATTTTTCGATTTTTTGTTTTTTGAATCTTAAATTACAAAAAATGGTCACTTCCAATGATCGCACGTAAAACAATTTAAACTTTTCTAATAACTGAAAAATTTTATAAAGGTAAAAAAATGCCAATAATAATAAAGAACAACAAAATTAGAAAGTAAAATAAAAGTTTTTTTTTTCGTTCACCCAAAACTGTTTCTGACAATTTGTTTTTGTGTTTTTTTCTATTATTATTATTTTAAAATTATATTTTACACTTTGATCCTGAAATAGGATATCGCGTAGTAGATGTTATAGCCTTCTAAAAATTTTTATTTGTTTTTAAGTTATTAAATTATTTTTTTCTTTGTTAAATCTAATAACACTAATATTCAAATAACCATTAGAATTTTTTTTAAGTAAATTATTTGGAAGGACAGAGATTTTAGTAAATTATTCGGATAATCGTTCTTTTTCAAAAAAATTAATGATTTTAAGGTGAATTTATAATATAATTTAAAGTTTATGAATTATTAATGAACTTTATTCATAAATATTTTTCAAATATTTTAAATTACCAAAGTTAAATAACTGTAAATTTTTATTTTATTTTTCAAAAATTCGAAATTAATTCGAAAATTAACCAACTGACAAGAAAAATTTAAATTTTCTGTATTATCAAAAAGTTTTTCTTTTTCCACTATTTTTGTTGCTTGGAGTACCGTTTCTATCAACGAGCACCAAACGAATGATTCAATATTAAAACCGAAAAGTCCTTTTATATCCTTATTGTATATTTTTATATGTATGCTTTGACTTTACGAACATTGTATGCACATACATAATATTCTATACGTTTGTATGTATGTATACGTTTTCGTATCATATTAGAATCAACATGTAGGCAATTATCGTAAAAGCGAAATGAAATATAAAAAATTTTGAATGAAACACTTGTTGGATTTGTGATTGTGCAGAAAAGTGAAAATAAAAAGTAGAAGAAGAAGAAGAAAAGCAAAAACCAATGTTTATTTGTTAGTTTTTTCTGTATTAAATCTGTAAAATAAGGTAAATTAGTCAGTAGAAGGGTATTTGGAGCAATTATTCATTATAAATTGATATTTTCAAAGATCTATTGGGTTTTTTACCAATTATTTTCAATTACACAGTATACAATATTAATTAAATGAGTGGTTTAACACATTTTGAACAATCATTGAAAGCTTTAGAAGAAAATCAGCTTTGAAAATTAGTTAATTCCGAATAGAAATGAGTTTTCTTTTGATAAACTAAAAATTTTTAATTCAAAATTTCAATAAACATTTTTTAATTATTGGTGTTCGAATTCGATCAAATTATTTTTCAAGACTAATAAAAATTAATAACAATATTGTGTTAAAAACTTAAATATATTTGTGTATTATTAATGTGAGGGTTTTATAATTGAAAATTTATCCTAAATAACGCATACCAGAAAAAATAAATACCACAGAACAAATGGAATATACAAAATAAAAAAAAAATTTTTTTATAATTTCAAACAATCGCTTAGAAAAAATTATTAATTACTACTTCTAGGAAATCTTGGAGGTGCTTGTGCATCACCTCGATCATAATAACTTCCATAACCCCCATATGGATCTTGTAAATGATATAAACCATAGTGTAGTCCGCTTGTTGCAATCTACAATTAGAAAATAATTTAAATTACCTAAAATAGATGGCGTTTGATTAAAATTGTAAATTTGGAAGCTATTTAAAGTATAAATTAAAAAATTTTTCAAGATTTCAAAATAAACAAAACATTAGAATAGTCATCAGGAGTCTCTACTATTAAAAATACATAATATGAAAAGAAAAATAATACCATACAAGCGTACCTTTCTTAAACTGCTGATTGATGCTAATAAAAGTGCCATTTTTGATAATAATAAAGCTTTTCCAGCAACTAAAGAAAGAAATTGAAATCCAACAGGAATGACAATAGCACCCATTGCTGTCACACCAAATAACATTGCAAGCATCATATTATTCCTTCGATGACGATGACGACCTGTTACAATTCCTATGTTTTATATTAACATTTAAAATAAAAATAAATTATATATATAGTGAATTTCTATAAAAAAAAAAAACAAAAAACAAACATATTGAAATTGTAATCGGATTTATGAGAAAATTAAAGAGAAAACTAATATAATTTTAATTTTACACACATGTATAACAATTTAATAAAATAACAGACAACATTCTGAAGTCTATAACAATATAACGTACACGTTATGTAACAAGCATATGTAAATATACTCTTGTACGTGTTATACATCTTTCTCTCTCTAAATATCAAATTAATATGATTATATTTTTAATTCATAATTTTTTTTTTACCTGAATCTCGATTTTCTTTCTCATTGTTGTCGTCATTATCAACATCATTTGCATTCTCATTATCATTATTTTTATTATGAATTTGGAACTCTTCAAGCTTTGTTAAATCGATTTGAAGAACGTGTGTTGTTAACGTGCTTCTTATACTTTTAAGAATATTTTGTAACCATATTGATGATGATGATGATAGTAGTGATGATGAAAAATTTTCTTCTATTTCATTATTATGTAATTGTAAATTACTAAAATTTTTCCCATTCTTTTCATAAATATTTTTATAATCTATTTCATTTACTGGAGTACTTGATGATCCAAGTGGTCTAAATTTAGAATTAAATATTTATAACTTAATAATTAAAATTTTGCCTTTAAAATAATCAAAATTTATTTCACATAATATTTGTTAAAGTGGAAATAAATAGCTATTTCCAAATTTTGTGTAATTTCTTTTTCATTCCAATATTGTTCTAAACTATATTTTGTAATGGAGATTCAGAATAAAATATTTTTTACTCAAAAATCTATTCTTTCAACTTTTCTAACACCAATTTTATGTATTTTTCTACTTAAAATACTGCAAGAATTTGCCTTAAAAATTAATTTAGAAATTTAAATAGAAAATTATTGAAATTTTGAAAATACGATATTGGGGATTTTTCAATTCTGACCTACATCTTAATATAAAGTGTTCAAAATTCATTTCTAACTTAGATCTTAGTATAAATCATGCTCGATAAATCAAAACTACAAAAATTTTAAATGTAGCATGTTCAATAAATCTTAACTACAAAAAACGAACGCTCGAAAATCATAACATGCTTTAAATTCTAAAGCATTTCTAAAGATTTTTGTTAAATGCTGCAAAAATATTTTAAGTTTAAAAACAATCGCATACAAAAATGTAAGAAATTAAAATTCGGAAGAACAAACTAGTTAGTTCCAGTAGGTTTGTAGTATGTTGCAAATAGGTTGCAAAAACAGATTTTTAAAATTTAAGTTGCAGAAGTTTAAGTGCATATCAGAATTTTTGATTTAATTTTAGGGAGTTAAGAATTTAGAAAATTTAGAACAAAGTTTTCTCCATCTTGAACTTGAATTAATTAACGCTCACAATTTAGATATTTAATAGTTTGAACAAAATGCGTCTTCTGGATACATGCATTCTATTATATTTATAAAATTAAAATGGGATTTACTTTAAAAACTTCTCCGTTTGAACTTTTGATGAGAATTTCGTCTTTTCCGCATTCCTATTTATTCGGGTCGAATTTTCTTTAAGAAATTGTAAGTTATTTTTAGTTGATTTTTTAATTAATTGAACTCCATCCATAATTCTAATTACTTTCAATTTTGCTATGCTATCAAATAATTTTAATATTGTTGCCTTGAAACATTTCATCCAGGTATTTGTAAATACCATTGACATTGAAATATTTTTTAAATCCTTTACATTTCCATTTTCCTGGCTTATATTGAAATTGTTTCGCTTATTCAAATTATCCTGCTGTGAATTGAAATAATAAAAAAAATGTATGATTTTACATTTATTTTGATATTTAAATCAGTAATATTCAAATGATTTTTTTCAAATACTTGGGTTCTCTAAAAATAACCCAAATGAGTGTATAACGAAAAGGTCTTAAAGCTAAAGTAATCCTAAATATTAATTAGATCTTAAATTGAGGGCAATAGTCCATAATTTTATAGATTGTTGTCAATTTAATTGAAATTTCAAAAATACAATCAACACTGAATAAATTTAAATTTCAAAGCTTACTACTTTTTTAGTGAAATAAGAGTATCAAGTTTCCGTGGTGTAGTGGTTATCACATCCGCCTAACACGCGGAAGGTCCCCGGTTCGATCCCGGGCGGAAACACTTTATTTTTTATTTAAACATAATGGCAAAAATTTTTATTTGGAATCCGTAAAGGTATAAAAAATTGTACTACCTATAGCGATTATAAAAAAATTATGTATAGATAAATCAACATGTTCATTATGTTTTCCACAGACGCACGTAAGAAAGTGATAACACAATATATAAAAAAAAAACAATAAAATTAATATGAATTTTGTACGCAAACGTAAGAAGTACAATGTATAAACTTACATATCTATAGTAATATGGCGAAATCCCCTATAATAGAATCTAAAAATAGATTATTTCGGAGGCACACCTAACGATCTATTGAAAACTTTTAATTTTATTTTTGTAATAAATATTTTTTTTCTTATTATAATTACAAAAAGAAGAATTTTAAAACTTTTTAAATAATTTTTTGTTTTGTGTGCTTTTCTGTTGCCATTTTGTTCGCTAAGAAATTTAATTTTTACAAAAAACATCCCACACAACTACCTTTTAATTACATTTTAATTCAAATTTCATTCTTTTTTTCAAGCTTTATGATATTGTTCTTCTAATAGGAATATTCGTATTCATTTTATTACATATGTGGTAATATTTGTACCCAAAATGCAATTAATAATTGAATGTCTAAGAAAGCAGACAGTAATTTTATGATAGTAAAAGTTGAGAAAGAAAAGGCACTAATTTCATATATGTTTGTAGAAATTCAAAATAAGCAGGTGGAAAACTAAAAAAGTTTGCCGTCTATTAATTTTAAACTTAGTTTACTTGAAACTGCACAAATATTCTTAAACTTACATTATCCTGCTTTTGTAAACATTCCACCAAACTCCTTTTAATATATAAAAAACTTTTTTCCCATATTGAATTACTAGAGCTATTAAAATGTTCGTTGAAAGTAAAATTGATATGATGCTTGTTAGGTTCACATAGACCAATAAAAATTAAAATAACACTGAATAGTAAAAATAATCTTTTAGAACGTTTAAACATTTTAATTTTTCCTATTTTATTTGAAAAACAATTTTTATTGTTGCTAATTTTAAATTATATTCCAAGTTATTATTCAAAAATTTATTCAAATAATTTAAATATATTAGATAAAAGAAATGAAAAATCGATCTCACTTTAACGATATTTGGTAAACTACTAAAAATCGAATTGCACTTCTCAAGAAGCATTTAGAAAAAAATAGTAAAGTAAATAAAACGATTGACCTATGACGGTATATTTTTTTTTTTATTTATAATTTATTATTATTAATAATTATATATGATTCATAATTCATGCAATATAACTTAAGGTCACCAAACATTAAGTTACGTTCTGCCCCAAATAAATTTTTTAACCACAGCCTTTAACTACTATCTCTTTTCATATTTCATACTTTCTTTCCAAGCCATGCATTTAGATTTTATAAAATCAATTTACATTTCTTTCATGATGAACAAAAATTATGTAGAAAATAAAAATATTTATATCAATTAAAAAAATTTAAATTTTTTTTAGTTTTATATCAATTTATTTATTTAAATAAAATACATAACTCTTTCTGCTTCTTATATAATTATTTTTCATACATTGTTAAATTTAATGTTTTCTATTTGTATTTTCTCAATTTTCTTTCATATTGATTTACTATAATTTAATTTGCATCAAAATATAATTAACTTATAATAAAATAAATATATATATATGTATATATTAGTAATTTATTATATTAAATTAAATTTACACAAAAAAATTTAATGCGTTCTTTGCTTATTAAAATTATTTACCATTATTACTTATCCCTTTCATAAGATGCTGATAAGTTCGGGGATTTTCGATATGTTATAATTCAGTTCTAGCGATAAAAGCAAGTGCGATAAAACCAAACTGCGAATTTGCAAAACTAGTATATTCGAAAATGACACTTATGCTGAAAGTTTCAAAGGAGTTTTTAAGTTTTTTTTATAACTATTGCAAAATTATTACAAATTAGAACAAGAGCATAATAGAAAATTGTTGGATAACTTGAATATTAAAGATTTAATAGAATATGTTACAAATCTGCAAAAGTAAAATATTTAATTTCTGCAGATTTGTAAGTACGTGTAAAAAAATTTTTAAAATTTAATTTAAGACTTTCAGCGCATGTCTGAATTAACGAAATTCCCCAAACTTTTAAGATTTAACTTACAACTTTCAGTGCATATCGGAATCAATGAAAACCCTCTTTATATTTATTGTATTCTAATTATTTATTAAACTACAATAATTAAATATACTTAATTAATGAATTTAAATAAAATTTTTAAAATTCTACAAATACTTTTCAAATTTCATAGTTTTACAAAATTGAAAACAGTTTCTTAATTCAATCTACTTAATAATACACACTATTTTAAAAGGAAAATTAAAACAAAAATTCTTTGTAATCATTTAAAATGATAAAGCGAATTTATTTTATTTTTTAAACAGTTTTACAATTAAGCATAAACAAAAGTTGCAGTGTAAATAATTGGTTTAAATAGGGATAAGCGTAATAATTATTTTATTTAACTTAACATTTTAGGGAAATTTTATTTAATAACTTTTATTTGACAAAGAAAGAAAAAGGAATTCGAATCAGAAAAATTGGCATTGATGCTTAAATTTCGTAACACATATAAATGCACCCGTATTAGTCCAGCTTTGATGTGCGCCTTTAATTTCAATAGTTTTAAAAAAATTATTTTTTTTTTTTGAAAATTGTTGAATTATTTTATCTGAATTTCAATTATTAAGTGAATTCAAAAACTATTTTTATAGGTTATTTTTTTGCATTAATTAATTTATGTGCACTTCTATTAAAAGCTTAATAAGTTTTACTAATTTTAGTTTTCTGAATTATTTTCTTTATATTGATATAATTATGTATTTAAAAATTGGAAGACTATTAATGTTTATTCTGGTGAAACGAAATAAATTTATCGATGATGAAAGATATGTCGAGCAACTTATTGTTGTAAAAGAAACAACTAATCAAATGTAAAATTTTAATTACGAAAAGTAATTAATGTTTCCCTTTCTCGAAATGTTTCTATTAAAATCACTTTAATTCAAATTTAATATGCTTTATCTCAGCTATAATACGTTTTTTGAGCTATATCTCAATATAATACGTTATTGTTCAACCATCTATTGGAAATTTAAACAATTGAAAAAACGTGTTCTATAATTAAACATTTTAATTATATTTCAATGAAAAATAACCAAAACTATTGTACATCTATAATTTTATCTCATTTCACCACCTATGGCTCCTATATCTGTAAATATTTGCTTTTTTATATGATTATTTAGAGTGTGTGAATTATTTCATTATCAAGCTTCTGTTTTGTTTTCGTAGGCAAAAAGTTGAAACAATCAGAATATTTTCATAATTTTAAGAATGATAGAGTAGGAAAATTGTATACCAAAAATTCCAAAGCAAATACTAGATTTTAAATAAATTTTTCAAGGAAACTCAAAAGAAAACATTTTCGAGTAAGCTGTGAGTCGCTACGTAATGCTCTGAAAATCATTACACTATGCATTTGTTACATTTTATATTTATAAGGAAAATGACCATATATAGCTAAAAAATTTCAAGTACTAAGAAATTATAAAACATCTTATTTGTTAAATCCGTAGAGCATTACTTATTAAAAATTTAATTTTAACATACATATCTTTACAAAATTTAAAAGATTAAAAAATTTCATTATCCAACTTTATCATCACCTATCTATTTGGTACATACCACTTCATCACAGTACAATATATAAATTCGAATATCTAGCTACAAGCCCTTCTCTGTAATATACCTCAAAACAATCTTTAAAAAATTTAAAATTTCTGAATAAGAACGAAAATGATATATTTTGAAAATATTTGAAAATTGGTGCTGTGTTGGTAAAGATTAAATTCAAGATTTATAGCAATTATATTTTATTTAATGCTGGAATTAAATATCTTATAGTAAAGTTTAAAATTTTATATTGTAATCAATTATTTTATTCTATCTAATTAAAATTTAATCTTAAAACTTTTTATAAAATATATTTTGTAATATCATCTTTCATAATAATTATTTTATTTTACTTAAAGAAAGTTAATAAAACGATAATAAGTCATTTTCAAAATATGAAAAACGAAAGTGCGAAAACGAAATTTGCAGTGGTAATTGTTTTATTGTAATAATTATGCAATTATTCAGTTGAAATTTTAAGAATGAACATTTAAAAAGCAATTTACACAAACTTCTAAATGCTTTTAATTCTTTTTCAATCGATTAAAAGCTAATTTTCCAGTAGATATAAATGATGAAATCGCTAAATATATGTACATACTTACATATTTAATTTATGGATGTTTTAATTTTTGCATTTTTTGTGTACAATTTTAAAAATAAAATCCAAAAAATTAATCTATTATTATCACCTCTAGAATATGTTTTTAAAATTCAATAAAAACATATGAGGGAATCAGATTTATAATTTGATTAAAATTCCTATTATTAAATTTTCTAATGAATGAAGCAAAATGTATAAGATGATAAAGAGAAATCTAAGTAGATTAAAAAATAAATGACAACTCCCCAAATAAATAAGAAAAGATGACTGGAATTGGAAATCTTAAGAACCACTAACATCCGCAATGTCTTTTTTTTTTAATTCTTTCTACATATACTTTATCAAACGTTTTGGATTTACATTTATTTTCTAAAAATTCTATGGATGAAAAACATTAGTTCGTTTTTTGTTTATTATTCGTTAGACTATATTATTTATCTATTAATTTCTTCATTTTTACAATTCGCACAAGATCTTGATAAATTGAGAAGTTTCTTAGTATGGAAATAATTAATTAGTAAGGAAATTTTAATCAAATTTCTCAAATTATCTTAGTATTAAATTTGAGAAAACTATATTCAGGTACTTACTATACAAATATTTCAGCATATATGATAATATATATGTTTCAATATCTATTTAAAAAAATATATTTTGTACGTTTTCCAGAAAAAACGTGCATATACATAAAAAAGAAAATATAAAGATTAAGTTTTAGTGTTTTAATGTAATTACTAATTATTAACAGTGCATAAACAGTGCGAACATATTAAACTACAGAATCGATCTGCGAAAAATTAAGATGTAAATTTAAGTCTTAGGTAATTAAAATAATTAGATCCAATTTACAAGAAGGAAATCGTGCTGAATTAATTCAAACAAACTTAAATTAATATTTATCAAACAATATTTTTGTATAAGTTTATTATAATTTTATATGATACATAATATATGTAAAACTATCATATATTGAATTTTAGCTATGAATGTATAAATAAATAAAATAATTTCAACTTATTTCAACTAAATTTTGTATAAAACACAATGATGTTTTCAAAGATTTTAATTACCTACGACATAATTTTATATCGGAGCAAAAAAAAATTTCAACAGTAGAATATGAAATTATCCAAAAAGATTTGAACAAATATAAAGTTTCATTACTGTTTAAATTAACTTACTGAAAGTAAATGCCATTATAATTTTTTGGCATTTATACTAAACATTGATAGTAATTTTATTGATTTAACTAATGTATAAATAATTATAGAATTAGTGTATTTTTTGAGTTTATGAAAACTCTTTTTTAAATATAAAACCAAATGTTCAATATTATGGTTTTTACATTTTTTTTTATTTTGAATATCAACAAATTTATAACCATTTTTCTACTTAAGATTAAATATTTTTTTCCACTATATTATTCAATTTAATTTATTACAATGATTTCATTACAATTGTTTTGTTTTTTTTTTCATTGTTTACGGCTTTAATAGTTTCACATGGTTTTCTTTGTTTAAGGCTCTATATTAAAATTATAAAAATAATTATTTTAAAATAGTCAATATCATCATGATCATCATGATTTTTCTGGAATTTTCGTTCCAAATCTTGGCAAACATAAACCAAATTTTGTTTCAATACCATTCAACATTGGTATAGCAGCGCGATAACCACCAATGTGATCGACATTCATTTTTGGTAAAGCTGGCACTTCAACATGGACACTCTTATAATCAGAACCAGTCGGACGTGAACCTCCAAAGTCGACATAGAATAAGCGCTGAAGAATTTCATAAGTTACTAGAGTAACACCAAATTGTGGCGATGAACGAAACACACGAGCTTTAAAGAAATATAAAAAATAAGTTTAATTTATGATTAACCATTAACTGAAAGCGTAAACTTACCAACAGTGCCTTTCCAAAATGCCCTGAAACCTTCTTCTACCAAAATCTTTTTTGTAGCATCAAGTACTCCAGTATATGTAGTTTGTCCTGTTCTGGCAACAACTTGTAATCTTGTTTTAATAACATCAGCTGGTGTTACTAAAGATGCTGCTGGTATACCTGCAATAGCACCAGCAGCTAATAATGATAAAGGATGATTATAACTAAAATTAAAAAGATGAGTACTAATTTTAAGCAATAAATTTATTTTAAATATCAATTTACCCATCTTCATCAGCAAGGGCAGCTTTTGTATGTGCATATGTTGGAAAATAAATGGCAGAGAAAGGTACATCACGCAGAAGACAAGCTCTAGCTCCTTTATACAAACCAAACAGTCCTAAATCGCGGACAACACTTAAGGCTCGAACTTTGGAACCTCCTACAAAATTAAAGATACAGTTAAAAATGTAATAATTGTAAGAACACCATGATTTGTCACTTGCCAGCTATTTCCCCTGCAACCTGTAATCGAATTTTAACAATCTCTAAAGGATTTGTGAAAACAACTTGAGATGCACCAGCCTAAAAATCAAAACTCTTCGGTTGAATTGTTTTTCAAAACAAAAACAAAGAAAAACTTACACAACCCCCCGCAACTACTTCAGCCCAAACAGGTAGTGTACCGTTTTTGGGAGATAACTTATCACGTACAAAATCGTTAACTGTCAGTTTTATAGCTTTTTCGGGTGCAACACCCATCAGTTGCGGTAATAAACCACGATATAAACCTAAAACACCTTCATGTCGAACAACTTTTTTAAAACAGTCCACAGAGTTTTTATAAGCAATTTCTCCTATAAATGATCCAGTACGTTGATTTTGCATTCTAGTTTTAACTAAATCAATTGGATACACCACAGTAGCACCAACAGCTAAAAATAAAATTTTGTTCATTTCACAAAGTTAAATTAAAAATATTGAAATATCTGTCCCATATTGTAATATTCAATACTGTTTACTATTTTAAAAATTACCTCCAGCAATCGAACCAAGGGTAAACCGATAAACGCTTTCCAGAGCTTGAATTAAAATTGTACGATCATCAGCCGAATCCACAGCCTTTACATCAGCCAAACGAGTTGTTATTACTTTAGTATAATGTTCGGGTGCAATACTGCTTAAATCACTGTATATGATTCTCCTAAAAATATGTATTATAATTAAAATAAAAATGTCATTTACAACCTACTGGAAGTAATATATTTTTCTACATAAACAATATTTTACACAATAATGCATAAGTATAAGCGATACAATGTAAAAATAAATAATTTTTAAAAATATTTTATACTAAAGTATCACACAATAATATAAAATTTTAAAATCTATATTTCAAATAAGTTTAAAAAATCATTTTTGGAAAAAAATAAACGGAATGTGGAATGTAATAAAATAACAAAGCGAATAACTAAAAATTTAAATTCTCTTAGGTTTCTTATTTCTGAAATAAATTTTATATATTTTTAAAGTTATTTAAAAATTTAAGTTAAAAATTAAAATTGTAAAAAGCCTGATGTTTTAGTTTAGTTACAAACTAAAATTTGAATGCAATTCCGGTAATAAATTACTAGTTTTTGTAAAATAACTATGAATTGAACAATAAATATGTTGTGTAGTTGTTTGGCTATGAAAAATTAACTTTGAAAATTTAAATGTTAACTTGACTAAAAATTTAATTTTGATAAATCATCTTTATTTAATTACTAAATTTTAATGTAAATTTTACGTTAAACTGAAACCCAGACTTTGAGTTAAATATGATTACCAACAACTAGGTTTTGAATATATTAAAAATATTTTACTTTTATTATTTTTTTTTTAATTTCTCCATTTAGTTGTTATACGTTTTGTCTGATACGAGTATTCAAAATTGTTGAGGGTGTTTACGATATGTAGAAATGTTCAAAATGATTTGTGAAATGCATGAAAGTATCCTGTGACCGATACTACAATCAATGCTTGAAATTATTAGATAAATATAATTGCCCAACAAAAAAAATTAAAATAATTAGCAACTATAAAATGGTAGAAACGACCTTGCAAATTAAATATTGTGCAAGTGTAAGTTTAGCAATTGATTTCAACGGAAATAAGCCAAAATCATTTTTACAAAAAGGTGCAGGTATGAAAAACTGAAAATAGGATTGAAAATATTTATTGAAGAAATAATATTCAAAAAAATCCAAATAAAAAATAAAGTAAAAAGAGAAAATTGCAAATATGTATCACAAAAATTAACAATTGACTTGCCTATTGTGATCAACCTTTTTGCGTTTCCACCAACTTTAATATCAAAATTTTGATTTTTATTTTTTAATTCAAGTCGATTTTTTATTTTTATTTTTACAAAAAGCGAACAAATTTAAAGAAATACATAAAAATAAGTTTTTAGTAAATTTTATTTTTAAATTGATTAAATTGAAAAAATTCATTAACTTTGGTTTTACTTTTTTTGATTAAATTTCATTTAGTAATCCGATCAAATTTTCAAAAAGATTGCATTTTGATTAATTTAAAAAGATTTTTTCTTGAATATTTTTATAGTACAGCGATCTTTGAATCTATATTTTAAAACTATAAATTTTTTATTGAAATGGATTGAATAATTTAGAAAACAACAATAAATAATTAGTTAGTCGATCGGATAAATGTTAAAAAATAATTGTTATACTTCATAATAACAACATGAAATAAATGTAACAAACTACTCTTCATAGTAAACACTATAAATGAAAAATAAAGTAATGAACAAAACAGTGATTATTTGATTACAGCACCAAACTTTTTATTTAAAAATATTGAAACCGAATCCGCTTTTTAACTGTCTTATTAATTATTCCAATTTCATCTTAAAGGAACACAATTAAAAGATCGCTGTCGAAAATTATTAATTTGAAACATTCAACAACTTTATAGAATAAAAAATTTAAAAGCTGCATTTGCAAGGAAATGAAGGAAATTTTAACCAATTAAAGAAAAAGAAAAAAAAAATAATTAAATATTTCAATTTTAATTCTAACAAATATTCCAAAAATCTTTTTAAATAACTATTAGTAAATTTTGTTTTTTTTTTTTTAACTTTTTTCAACACAATTCGTTTTCTAATTCAAAAACATATTAATTCCAATAATCTTATATTAAATTAACAATATCATACTTACCCCGAATGCTGTAAAGCACCAGTTAATTGAAACAAAATATCGATTTCTAATGGCGTAATTTGACTCATTGTACGGGCTGAATACAATAGTTCATCTTTTGTAACAGGTTCTAAGCGATTTCCTTGTGTTGCATTTAAATATATTCTTTTTATTAATTCCATATTATTTAATAATGAATTGAATGCCATGAAATATGGAAAACTAACTTTATGACCTTCAGTTACCTAAAAATATTAATGTTAAATTGATTTTTGTTTTGTTTGCTACCTAATTCGAGATGTTTTTTTTTTTGTTTATTACATACAGCTACTAAATTATCTTTAACATCTGTTGTCAATAAATGCCTTTTAACTTTGATCATAATATCTTGAAAATCTAATGGTGATATGTATCCAGTACCAGCTGGATCTTTTTTACGGAATGCTTCCATTGCATATTCTTCATGAAAATCGTGTAAGAGCTGACTGAATTCTGCATAATTAATTACTCGTTGTTTATTCTAAAATTACAAAAAAAAATATATGTACATTTATACTGAAGCTGTAATTGCAAAAAAATTTTTATATTTGAGTACTTACAGTACCAAAGTAACGTTTAATAAATGGACCGTTCAAATCAAAAGGTATCTTTGAATGCAATTCAGTTTTTTCTATGACTTCAACAAAATCCTCTGAAAAAACAAATTGTAATTAGACCATATAATAATAATTAATCTCTAAGAATTTATATTTGAAATTAGAATAATTTCATAAAATTCATATTTTATATTGCAAGCAATAAATGTTTGATAAAAGAAATGTTCGATAAGAAGTTGCACATTTTTAATGCATATTTTATTATTTGCGCGTAGTGTTACTATATTCACTTATTTGTGTCGTAATCAACGCAACACATACCATATGTCACATTTCCCATTCCTTTTCTATCAAATAATTGAAATGCAGTTTTATATAAAGCATCTGGTGTACATAATAATCCTTCAAATGCTTGAAATTCTGAAAATGATATAAGTCCATCTTTACTTGTATCTGCTATACCAGCCAATAATCGAACAGACTCCTAAAAAAAACAAAGTATTAAATTAATATTAGTTTAGAACTTCTATTAAAATTTAAAACCATTTTACATACTTCATTAAATGATTGTTCGTTAAATAATCCTAAATAACGTCGTACAAAATCCTCACTGGTCATAAAATCTTCATCATCTTTATGAACTGAAGCATATTTTAAAAAAACTTCACGTAATTTATCGGTACTGGCTCGTTTAATATGAGATGGTCCCTAGAAATTAAATAAATAAGTTATTATTAGTGCATTTTTTTACAATGTCATTTAAAAGAAATTCATTATGCAATTATTTAAATGGGCTTTTACCATTAATAATTTCGGCATTTTAAAAAAAAATTGATTTGTTAGTCTATACTCTTATTTTAATAAATAAAAATTACTAAGTAGAAGACGTCTTCACGAGTTTCAAAATAATTTATACTAGTTTGAGGTTTCTATACAAGAATTATTTTTTTTATCTTTACTTTAATCAATTATTTGCTCTCTTTCGAGTTGGTGATATTGCGATATTTTATATACAAACAGAGTTACCAGAATTTTTCATATTTTTTATAAATGCATACTTAAATTTCAGTAATGTGATTATTTAATTTCGAACCGTTGTAAAAAAGTTAATATACAACTTATTACATTACTTCTATATGGGATATACAAACGTAGAATATTCAAGCAAAAGCTTTTTATCTGTAAATTATAATAAGCGTTACCGATTAAGTGACAGTTTTTTCCTACTATTTTTATAGCTAATATTTATTTAGCTGGCAGTTCTAGTACATGATTAATATACATATATATATGTATATTTAAAGTCAAAGAAAAAATAATAAAAAACGCAAAAAAAAGAGAGAAATTACTGAAACTTATCAATGAATAAAGCTAGTTTAATCACAAAGAGAACACGTGGATATTTTTTTGTGACTCTGATTTTTTATAAACAAAAATAAAGTATGAGCCACAGAAACAGACGTGTAAACTTTTAAAAGAAAAATTACGTAAGATTCTGTCTAAGATGAATCTGTGACGAATTAACTTAAACATAACACACACATACATCTTTCACATTGAAACAAATGTATGTATATCGATTTTAAATTAACGTTTTAGTTCACGAACAAGTGAATTTCATTTATTCACAATTGGTTTCCAGTTGAAAAAAAAGAATTAAGGGTTAAGAAAAATATTTTCTCAATTACAAATTTTTTGTGTGTCTAAACATTTATTGAATTTGTAATAATTCATAACTTTTTTCAAACCTCCCGACCACATTTTTTTATCAAAAAAGTCCAAATAAAATGTCGCAGGAAATGAGCGATATACAAAACTCTTCTCATAACAAGTATTTCTTGAAAAAACTTTGAGAAAAACAATCGAAGTCATAAATTTTAATCATATTTAGATATTATATGCACATATACATTTAGGTACCTCTTATTTCAAAAATTTTCACAAAGAAATTTTAAAAATTATACGATGAAGGCACTTCCTATAATTATTTTTCTGTATTGAAGTTCTACATACGAGTATCATAATTATTTACTGAATCTATCACCCAGACAAGGAAAACATTACAGAAAAATTTTAAAACAAAATCTAGACATTATAATTTTTATTAGACTAATTAAGATTGAGTATTTAATCTTTAAATAAATATAATTAACTAATAGGTAATTTCAAAATAAATTTCGGAAATAGCCAAAAGAGAAATACAAAACGCGACAATCATTATAAATTTAATTATCTTATCAAAATTGCAAAAAAAAAACCAAAATTAGTCAATGACCGATTGAAAATTTATATTCACTAAATAAGTTCAGACAAATGTTCTATACACACACAATACATACAACATTTAAACACATTTTTATTTGTACTTCTTTAAGAAAACATTGCATTTTTAAAAATAAATTATTCTCGATATAAATATTGAGTTTGGACAATTGATTTGTTGTTTATCTGCATTATAAAACATAAATGTCATTCATGTGAACGGTAATTATTTCCAATATGTAATATAATGAGAATTGAAAAAGAAAATCTCTTTACTTTTTGTTTCTCAAAAAGAAAACCATTGAGTTTGTAAATTTTCGTAGAGTATTAAAAGAGTCATCTAACGTTACGAAATTTAAACAGTTTGTATAGCGATGCGCTCCAATACATATATTTGTTTTAATAAACAAAATTGCTATTTAATTTGTCAGACTAATTGACTGTGACATTATGAAAAAATAGAAAAAAAAAATAGAAATTAAACAATAGAATTTGTAGTGAGTTTGCCAAACACAAATGAAATTTTTATTTGTCAATATTTTGATCATAATTAACCATGAGACACTCACTTTAAACACTTTGTACTTGGCTGTCAAAATTAAAATTTTTAAAATAAGCTCAAAAATTCAAGTTCATTGACAAAAAAAATTTTTATATGATTAAAATTCAATATGGTTTACTGAGTCATCACATATGTACATAGGTTTATATACGGCAATATACATGTACATATATGTGTGTATTGTTCATATTTTTGTTTAATTTATTCTATTTGTATTTGAAATTAGCGAAGCATTTTATCATGCTAACGTACAATTTGTAAAATATGTACATATGTTGTTATAATTAAATTAACGCGTACATAAAAAATGATGAATAATGAATAATCAATTTAATATATAAAATTTTTAAAAGACTAGAAAATTATGACCACTTTAATGTTAATGAGAAATAAAAATAATATTTTACTTTTTAATTTTAATTCAAAATATTTTAATCTGTCTGATTACTATAAAGGATATTAAAAAGCTATACAAATAATATATATATAAAATTTTGGACATTAAAAACGAGAAGTAAAAAGTCCGAAACAGCAAATGCCTTTACTGTTGTAAACACCGATAAGAAATAACACCAAAATTTTTAGTGGATCGTAAAAAATGTAAAAACAAATCTACACAAATAAGATTAAGAAAAGGTTAATTACTAAAAATTCAACAAATGAAAATCTCCATGGAATATAAAAGCCATGGAAAGCCTTTCTCCATGGAAAGCCCATGGAAAAAGGGTTTGCAATTTTGATATTTGCTTAAACTTTTTTGGTCAGTTACTGTATTTTGCCTTTTCCAGTTTGCGAAGTCAAACAACTTTTTACAACCTGCGTCAAAAAATTCTTAAATTTCTCACTTAAACATAATTAGATCGTCCATTTCAAAACCTAATTAAATATTTTCTTAAAAATTGAATCATCTCAAATGAAAGCACATTACAGCATCACATTTATGTACATTGTCTGTATAAGAAGTGCCAATAACACTGTTACGTATATTAGTCACATTTTAAACTATTATTTCATTTAACATAAAGTTTTTAAAATTAAATTTTAAATTAAGGTTAAAACACATTTTAAAATGTCTTTTGATTACTGCAACAATTTCTTCTTTTCACCATAATCCAATTATGTAATTTCTGTGTAATAAAATTTTCGCACTCTTCTTTTAAAATATTTAATGAATATGTGCATAAATAAAAGTTTATGGATATAAAAAATAAATGGAGCAGAAGAAAATTACATAATACATAAAATTTACTTATTTACTTAACTTCAGTTAGATCAAGTTTTACTTTGTATACACTAAAGACGAAATAGATTGAATTCAAAAAAAAAAAGATTTTGGTTTTGAAAAATTTACTGGGGTTTACAAACATATTGAAAATCAATACACAATCTACTAAAAACCAATCAATATCAAGCGTCCTTTTCCTCAATTTTGTCATTTTAAAATTTATTTTAATATCCTTAAAATAAAATATCTATTTCCGAAGCTCATTATTACTATTATTTTCACTATAATTGTTATTTTTTACCAATTTTAACTTTCAATCCTTTAAGAAAATTAAAAATTTTCTGTAAAGAATTCGGAAGTATACAAAATTCAAGTCGTCTTTTTATTTTCTATTTTACTTTCTAAAACGGAAAATTAAATAGGAAATTTCATTTCGGATGTCTTTTTATATTAATAGTTATTTATATTTCTTATTCGTTTTAAGTGCAAGCAAAATAATAAGTAGATAAAGTGTCTATTTTAACTACTTATTCATAAATGGAGAATAAAAATAAAAGAAAATTTCAAAGAAAAACTTGATTTTGTTAAAACGAGACTAAAAAATCTCTTAAGATTATTTTTCCTTTTCCTTACAAAATGTATTTAACTACTATTTTCTGATTTCTAATATTTTTTTGAGTAGATTTTCATAAATATCCTTTCCTTTTTGTACTTTAATATTTTAATTTTTTTTACTTTTCAATAAATGCTAACACTTTTTATAAAGTTACTTATGCAAACTTATTTCTAAAAATTTTTCACAAGAAAATTTTAAATGTGCGCGTTATTCAACAGAAATTTTTTGTTTCCTAGGAAATCAAAATTAAAACACGATTTCCATGAACCGGCTCCCAATTTTACTGATAAAATTAGTAAAATTTACAAAAGTTTCGATTTCTTCGTAAGGAGGTAACCAATGTAAATTGCGATTTTTTTTAAACAATAAACACATCAAAATGTCTTTCCAAAAATGCCAAACACTCCTCTCCCTATAGACAAATTTGAATAACATTTTCTTGATTCACAATATTTCTGATATGACAGATATTTGGAACCCAAGTTTTCTAAATTTTCATTGAGAAAATCTTTGATAATCCTTTACTCCGTATGATTTTTTAATAAAATTTAAATTTGGATTGTATTTCCTAGGAACAATTTTCAATATGCCTTTTTATGTATGCTACATTTTAAGATATACATAAAGAAGAAGAAAAGAAAAACTTGAAATTTATGACACCGCATTACAAGGCTTTATTATTTTTTCTTTCATTTTCATTCTTGTTAAATAGAAGAGAGGATTTAAAATTTGCTTTATATTTGAAAATTTTTCTAGTACAGTAGTTTAATATTAAAATAGGAAAAACATGCTTTTCAATTAATAAGAAATTAAGGATAGAAAATTTTAAAAAGAATTAAATAGCATTTTTTCGTTGATTCATTTAAGGCGTTTAGAGAGTTAATCCTGATTTGATTAGTTTTTTTCGGATTATTAAGCCATGGAAATATAAACATGGAAAACTTATATTTCAGCTTCAAGCGTACTTGAAGTTTATGTTTTATGTCCATACTCGTATAAATGCTATTTCACTTTAAGTCGGCTTAACTAAAATCAATCAAAAA